TTTCTTTTGGCGCGATGGGCAGGGGAAAACTTGGTATAATGTATTGATATGTGACTTGAATTTAATATCTGTTAAATAAAAACCAACCTGAAGAAGAGCAGGAGAAAAGGAAACTCTGACAAGATTTCTCCAGAGGCATTTTGATATGTCAGAGATCACTCCTGCAGTGCATTTCGGTATAAGAATTTAGGGTACCACAAAGGGTACCGCATGCGAAATTGAGTAGCCGGCCGGGAAAAAAACACACATGGTCGGGCAATAAACCCTATACCTTTTGTTAAATCAAATAAACAAAGACTCGTATGCTTAATTTTGCATCAAAACAAATCCTCATACAAGTTCATTTAGGTTTTAAAATTAATGTAAATGCGAAATCGATGAAGAAACCTTTATAGTTACCGAATGGCCCATTTTAAAATCTGAAATCACCCTGAGTAAAATAGATAGCATTATTACCGTTGTAGAAAAAACTAATATGGTATATATCAATCAAATATTTTCGATATTATAAACTGAAAAAAAAACATATTTTTCAAATGTATACCAGTGCCATATGTCGAGTTTTAAGATCGAGAGCTTGATTTAAATCATGAAAAAAAAAAAAACAACATGTAGGTGCAGTTTAAAGAAGGGAAGAAAAGCTTATTTTTCTACTTTTACTTCATCTTTTCTTCCTTTATTATGTTCAATCTTATTCTTTCAGAGCAACCTGCTGGATATAGCGTTGGAATCCAGTGTTTTCGTGGAAAACGTGGTAAGTATCAATTGCAATCTATTTAAATTGATGATATACCACATGTTCTCATATATAAAGGAAGTATAAGTCTTCCATTTTTATATTTATCTTACTTTACTTCCACACATTTCTGTTTGTTTGATTTGTATTATGGTCTACATGTTTTTAAGAGCTAAGATGATCATACATGTTGAATGATGAAGTACAGTTATGAGTCCGTAATATTAGAAGTGTAACCATTTGCTATGACCGATTTCTCATAAATCACAATAACAGTTCTTACGTTTTTGTTTGAACCGGAAAATCCGTTATGTCTATTTGTTTGGTTTTTTAATTGTTGTAAAAGTGAAATGGATTAAAAATCTAGATAGTTACTGAATGACCCATTTTCTAAAATTGAAATCAATCGGTTTAATTACATACACTATGGTATGAATACATGACGGTGGTCGGTTAAGGGTAACGCTCAATTGACATTCATGCTTACATTTCAATAGAATTTCTTTCAACTATTCAATTATCATCTTTCATATGCCTGTAGCCTGACGATTGCAAAAGATGTAGATATATGTATGCAATTTCCATCAATGGTAATTGCAACGTCAGAAAATGAGAAACACCAGAACGCGTTTATTACCCAACATACTTTCTTTTGGCGCGATGGGCAGGGGAAAACTTGGTATGATGTATTGATATGTGACTTGAATTTAATATCTGTTAAATAAAAACCAACCTGAAGAAGAGCAGGAGAAAAGGAAACTCTGACAAGATTTCTCCAGAGGCATTTTGATATGTCAGAGATCACTCCTGCAGTGCATTTCGGTATAAGAATTTAGGGTACCACAAAGGGTACCGCATGCGAAATTGAGTAGCCGGCCGGGAAAAAAACACACATGGTCGGGCAATAAACCCTATACCTTTTGTTAAATCAAATAAACAAAGACTCGTATGCTTAATTTTGCATCAAAACAAATCCTCATACAAGTTCATTTAGGTTTTAAAATTAATGTAAATGCGAAATCGATGAAGAAACCTTTATAGTTACCGAATGGCCCATTTTAAAATCTGAAATCACCCTGAGTAAAATAGATAGCATTATTACCGTTGTAGAAAAAACTAATATGGTATATATCAATCAAATATTTTCGATATTATAAACCGAAAAAAAACAACGTATTTTTCAAATGTATACCACTGCCATATGTCGAGTTTTAAGATCGAGAGCTTGATTTAAATCATGAAAAAAAAAAAAAAAAAAAAAAAAAAAAAAAAAAACCATGTAGGTGCAGTTTAAAGAAGGGAAGAAAAGCTTATTTTTCTACTTTTACTTCATCTTTTCTTTCTTCATCATATACAATCTTATTCTTTCAGAGAAACCTGCTGGATATAGAGTTGGAATCCATTGTTTTCCTGGAAAACGTGGTAAGTATCAGTTGCAATCTATTTAAATTGATGATATACCATATGTTCTCATATATAAAGGAAGTATAAGTCTTCCATTTTTATATTTATCTTACTTTACTTCCACACATTTCTGTTTGTTTGATTTGTATTATGGTCTACATGTTTTTAAGAGCTAAGATGATCATACATGTTGAATGATGAAGTACAGTTATGAGTCCGTAATATTAGAAGTGTAACCATTTGCTATGACCGATTTCTCATAAATCACAATAACAGTTCTTACGTTTTTGTTTGAACCGGAAAATCCGTTATGTCTATTTGTTTGGTTTTTTAATTGTTGTAAAAGTGAAATGGATTAAAAATCTAGATAGTTACTGAATGACCCATTTTCTAAAATTGAAATCAATCGGTTTAATTACATACACTATGGTATGAATACATGACGGTGGTCGGTTAAGGGTAACGCTCAATTGACATTCATGCTTACATTTGAATTTCTTTCAACTATTCAATTATTATCTTTCATATGCCTGTAGCCTGACGATTGCAAAAGATGTAGATATATGTATGCAATTTCCATCAATGGTAATTGCAACGTCAGAAAATGAGAAACACCAGAACGCGTTTATTACCCAACATACTTTATTTCGTTTGGCGCGATGGGCAGGGAAAACTTTGTAAGATGTATTGATATGTGACTCCAGGTTAATATCTGTTAAATAAAAACCAACCTTAATAAAAGCAGGAGAAAAAGAAACTCTGACAAGATTTCTCCAGAGGCATTTTGATATGTCAGAGATCACTCCTGCAGTGCATTTCGGTATAAGAATTTAGGGTACCACAAAGGGTACCGCATGCGAAATTGAGTAGCCGGCCGGGAAAAAAACACACATGGTCGGGCAATAAACCCTATACCTTTTGTTAAATCAAATAAACAAAGACTCGTATGCTTAATTTTGCATCAAAACAAATCCTCATACAAGTTCATTTAGGTTTTAAAATTAATGTAAATGCGAAATCGATGAAGAAACCTTTATAGTTACCGAATGGCCCATTTTAAAATCTGAAATCACTCTGAGTAAAATAGATAGCATTATTACAGTTGTAGAAAAAACTAATATGGTATATATCAATCAAATATTTTCGATATTATAAACTGAAAAAAAAAACATATTTTTCAAATGTATACCAGTGCCATATGTCGAGTTTTAAGATCGAGAGCTTGATTTAAATTATGAAAAAAACCAACATGTAGGTGCAGTTTAAAGAAGGAAAAGAAAGCTTATTTTTCTACTTTAACTTTTCTTCCTTTATCATGTTCAATCTTCTTATTGCAGACCGGGTCGATTTTGGACCTCTCTGCTATCGTGATAGGTGTTAATTACAATCTATTTGAATTGGTGATATACAACAAGTTCACATATATAAAGATATTTAAGATAGATAGTCATTGAATTACCCATTTTCTAAAATTGAAATCATTCGGTTTAATAACATACTCTATGGTATGAATATATGACGGTGGTCGGTTAAGGGTAACGTCCAAATGACATTCATGCTTACATTTCAATGGAATTTCTTTCAACTATTCAATTATCATCTTTCATATGCTTGTAGTATGACGATTGCGAAGGGTTGATAAAAGACGATAAAATGAAACAGGCAAGCGGATCATCATGGATTTCATCTCCTTCAAAGGTAATTGCAACGTCAGAAAATGACTAATATAATGACTGAACGATGTACCAGCGGTTCTTCAGACGACAATACATTTTGCCATTTTGTGAACTTACAAAATGTATATGAAATGAATGTTATGTAACTGAAAGGTACATGGAAATGCGCAAGTTTATCAATTTTTTTTTCTATCTTATTATTGTTTTTTTTTTCAATGATTGAAAAAAGCAGTAGAAATGCAAAATTGTGTAAGAAAAGGGAGGGAGCCATTGGCGCTATCTTCATGGTCGGGTACTTTTGGCGTTACGCTGGACAATATACAAAGCAATATTAAGCTTGCCGATGAATGCAACATATTCAAGTTTTTGCTTGTTCTTGTCGAAGAATATCTTTCAAAATTAATTCATTACATATTCATCTAAAAATGCATCACAGTATTTAGCGAAGATATGTTGAAAACCACATTTATTCAATATTCGCTCCATTTCCATCCCTACAAAATGTCAGCCAATTGCAACGCAATGAATAAACACATTTTTTATCAGTTATACTTTATCAACATGGTAAGTATAAAATAGTTTGCATGAGGGAGTAAATGAGAATTTGACAGCTGATTTTAAACTTCAAGAAAAGTTTGTTAAATGAAAGCTCGCAAAATGCAGTTTTCGGTCGCTGTTTTTGTTTTAAGGGTAAATATCTGAAAAAAGTTGCCTATACCGTACAGATATATTGCAATCCTAACATTTTCATCCATTAGAGTTCCGCCATTTTGAATGTGCGGTTGTAAGTGAAATTATAAAAAAGTATCAGGCTTTTCCTGGATTTGTTTATATTTTTTCTTAGCATTGACAAAAGAACCATAATTCACTTTTCTTCCGGAAACTTTGGTTTAATAATATATATGTTATTCTTTTACAGTGTACACCTTATGTCGAGTCAATTAGCTATATTTCTATTGCTGGAAGCGGAATGCAAAGATGTAAAGAAACGACATCAAATAACGATATCGTAATAAACAGGGAAACAGATTCAAGTGATCAAAATTGTGAGTCCGATCTGAAACGACTCAGAAAATCAACAGAATCGGAAGAACTGAAGACTGCAATTTCAGTCGATGTGATATTGGGCATCGGTCTGGTGACGGCAACATTTATCTTCAGAGAAAACATTTTACCGAGTCATTATGGCGGGAGCCGGGTCTGCCGCTACGATAGATTCGTCATTGTGTAATATCATATGCTTTATTGTAGGGGTGTTGTCGAATAAGACATCTTTCGATGGGGATAGCAAGGTAGGACACAAAACTATAAAGATTGACTGGACAAAGCAGCCAGTGTTTTGGCCAAAGGATATTCCTTATAAAAATCCAAATACCAATTTGACAACTCCAGAAAAATGGTCCATGCTTTTTGCAGCTCTCGCATGCCTTATGAAAGAAGATATAGACAAACTCTTGACCAAATGGGACCATTTTGTTTTGTGTGTTGAACTAATGGCATTAGAGAGTAGCTGCTTAGAGATCATGGATGAATGTCATTTTCTTCGAATATTTAGAAAACAAGATGCGAGTCATTTAAAAAAAAAGTGGGTGAGGGAAATTTATTCATATCACCTCAATTCATTTGGACTATCGCTAACTGATGTATCGGCTGATCAGAAGCACACCTATTTCAGCAGTTTTTTTGATGACCTGGAACAGGTATGAACTTTTTTTTTCATAAATGTGTGCCTTTTAAACTCGTATTCACTTATCAGTTTTCGATCTTTCTTGAAATCATGATGAATAAAACATTTACCATTCAATATGTGCAGTTGTTGTGCAGGTGTTACGTTTGTCTCTTAGAAATACCGTTCATTTCATGTTTTAAACCTTTGCTTGACATATTTTAATATTAATACAACGCTCTTATTTTATTTTACAGGAATGTAACAATGGAAAACGTCCAACTTTCTTACAAAAGCTAAAAACATTCAATTCCATGAAGTCACTTAAAGCAGTAAGTATAATATAAAATGTTTGAAATTTTGATAATATTTCTGTATTTTTTCAAGCATGATTTTATTTTTCTCATCATATTGACAACTTCTGTCCCGTCAGTGTGGTTCTAACATTTTACATAATTTTGAATAACCGTTGTTGATAAAAAAAAAAGGCCAGAAAAAGGAAGCAGAAAGACCGATACCCTCAATATTCGTGACGAGATAAGGATTGTCTCGTTCTATTTTTGAGGTGGTTGAGGCAATCCCAAGTGGTAAAAAACCCAATGACATCTGATTGGCAATAAAAGGAGATATCAATATTTGGAAAACAGATCGTGTAATTGCAAGATACTGCGTTAATCTCCATTTCCCAGACTAAGGATTACTTCCCCGATGGAAGATTTCAGAATCTCGTTGCTTGAGGGAATTCCTTTAAGAATTTTACATACATTTCAAAACAATGTATTTAACTAAGATAGTACATTTTTAATAGGATTCCGCATTGTGCATTGCAAAGGAATGTTTACAGCATGTTTCAAAGCGAGCGAAGAATTCGTCTAAGGGACATAATCCAAGTAGTCGTAAGGTGAGTATGATTTTGTCGTATTTATCGGATAGAAAATATTTCCTAGAGACTCTGCTACAAGATGAACGGGTTTTAATTGGAAATATGCAAATGCTTACTGAAGCCAAATTATTGCAATATTTTACTTCAACACTAATAACTTTTAGTAACATGTGTATTTGCTTTTAAATGCTACAATATTTATGTTTATGGATTTCGTTTACTTATCACAGAGGCAATGTCCAAATTCAGGACATGCAGCGGATACTGTAACAAGAGAGAAGAGATCAAAGAAGCGAGATACGACTTCTACAGCCTTATCAATACCTACTCTACAACATGCAACGATTCCAACGTCCACATCCTCAATACCTAGATCACAACATTCAAAGATTCAACTGATGGCGTCACCAAAATCCACCACGCAATACTCAACACTACAACAGACCGCGTCAACAATACCTACTACAGAGTACTCAACGGTACAACAGACCGCGTCACCAGTACCTCCTACAGAGTACTCAACGGTACAACAGACCGCGTCACCAATACCTACTACAGAGTACTCAACGGTACAACAGACCGCGTCACCAGTACCTACTACAGACTACTCAACACTACAACAGACCGCGTCATCAATACCTACTACAGAGTGCACAATGGTACAACAGATCGAGTCACCAGTACCTACTACAGAGTACTCAACGGTACAACAGACCGCGTCACCAGTACCTACTACAGAGTACTCAACGGTACAACAGACCGCGTCACCAATACCTACTACAGAGTACTCAACGGTACAACAGACCGCGTCACCAATACCTACTACAGAGTACTCAACGGTACAACAGACCGCGTCACCAGTAACTTCTACGCAAAACTCAACACTACAACAGACCGCGTCACCAATGTCTGCTACGCGAAACTCAGCCAAATTGAACACCAAAATCACAATTCCATTGATTTCAAATGATCCTCTTATGTCCAGTTCTGGGTCACATCAGTTCATCCTACCGGTCGATACATCAGATCGGTCTTTATATGATCAGGCACGTAATACATTTAACAACAGTTTATTGTCCGGCACGTGGTCACCTAGTGAGGACTACTGCGAGTTATTTGATGATTTATTCACAGTACCAGATTTTTCATAATTTTTCAAGTGAAATAAATGTATTCCTACTTTGCTATTCCCAATCGATGTGAAAGGAGATTTTGACTCAAACTGCGGCCTTGTGTAAACTGACTTCCGAGAAGCTTTTGCCATGGGCGCCAAAATATAAATGATACTTCTCGTAACCCATGGACTACTGGATAGCCGTTGCGTTTAAGTCATCATTTATATACATTTGTGTAGAAACAGTTGCGTTTCTATAAGCGTGTTTGATCTATTTGATCTAAACATGAATTTATTGTGTTTATACCAAATTGTAAATAAGGACAGTTTTAAGGGAACTTTTGCTTTGATATGTTTTATTTAGATGTGTACTTACAGGGTTCATTTCTTTATATGTCATGTTATATTCAAATAAAACGGAAAAATTAAAAAAAAAAAAAACCCAAAAAAATAAAAAAAAAAAAAAAAAAAAAAAAAAAAAAAAAAAAAAAAAAAAAAAAAAAAAAAAAAAAAAAAAAAAAAAAAAAAAAAAAAAAAAAAAAAAAAAAAAAAAAAAAAAAAAAAAAACGAGTCAAACCGATAAATTCAATAACATGGAAGACCTTATGCGATAAAAAGATGAATTCTGGGAATGATAGATGTTTCTGGCTTAAGACGAGTTACAATAATAATGTATCGGCATACAATAAATAAAGTTGTTTCTTCAATGATTCTAATCTTCATGATTTTACCAAAAGCTATAATCATTTAAAGGCAGTAGTAAAGTAGCTTATGATTTTGTTTATTTGTTTATTTATTTTTTTTTTTTTTTTTTTTTTTTTTTCATTTTCAAGGTGTCAAATTTTCTTTGTTTTATTCTTGTCATGAAAATAACATCAAAATGAGCCCCTCTTAGATCACAACGTTTACATTACTCTAAGGATGAAAATTCTAATTCGATATCTAAAATCCAAAGAGAGTTTTTAAAATAATCTCAAAAATAAATTAATTTCAAGTAGTCATTTAGATCGCGAAGATTATCAAGAATTCTTTAGAGAATATTTCGTTAAATCAAAAGATCAATATGTCGAACCTAATTATCACGAAGTCGTATAGCTCTAAGACCCCGTTTAATTCGAAACATTTCCTCGTTTCCCGCTTAACATTACAAAAAACATTCAAATACCCTTAAATCGCATACTCTGTTATCTGGAAATTTTCCTATGATCCCGCCGGGTTCGGGATTATGAGGTTCGACTGTATAGAAGGTCTTTGTTTCAATAAGGGGATAGTAAGCTAAGCCTTGTTTTTCATTAATATACTTAAGAAGGTCGTGAATTTTGCTTTTTAACACTAGATGAAATATGAGATTTGGACACAAAGGAGAATAACGAAAATATGTTTCATCTGATAGTTTCAGGTCGAATTTTTTTTCATGATGATAAGGTCAATGGTCCGGAAATTTTGTGTCACATTCTAACTGATAAAAACTTCGTTTCTATTATACCTAAGACTTAAATTGTAGCAATTATTGAGTTGCTTCCTAACATTCCAGTCAAAGCTCTGGACTGAAAGATCTTGATGGATTTCTCATTGAATACGAAGATTTCTTAGATAGTAGTTTTAAACATCTATGGAAATCTGTTATAAAATAAATGCAAATAGTTAATGGATTTTATATGGCTAATTAGCTTTGAATTCATATCGATTCTTTTGTTTAAGAACAGCAAAATGTATTTAAAACGTATCAATAATTAACCGTTTATAACTTTAGAAGCCATCATCTTAAAGGAACTTAATATTTACAATTTAGAAATGGTTAAACTGTTGTATCAAAATAATCATTTAAAAAGAATATCGAAAAAAATATCACAAAGTCGTGAAATCGCAAAATTGAAAACATATTGAAAGTTCCTTCAGTGCAAAAGGACCCGATTTTACCTAAATATGATAAAATTTCAAAGATTTTTTTTATTCTATTCAAACAAATTTTGAAACTCAAAAACACGTTTAGCAATTGTATTTATATTTAGCAGTCAGCGCCATTGGGAAGTAAACAAGTCCGGTATTTGTGTTCTTTTTTAAGCAATGTCATTAAATGTTATCCGTCATGATTAACAGTACTGTACAACTCGAAAAGCGGTCCTTATGTGTCATATTACTTTGATGAAAATGAAAATTCTTGATGCGATGCCAACACCAAGACAAAATTTCACTGTGCCTGTTTGAATTAATGATTTTCTTCACTTTGATTCACTCTCAGTAATAATTCTGGTTTGTATTCATCAAAAAATCGTTTGGTTTAATTACAGATAAATTGATATCACAATGTTTCATATGGAGTTTATGTTTGCCATATTTTGTGTATGAATTGTATGAGCTTATCTATTGATGTGTATTTTTGCTTGATTTTCTTTTTTTTATATCGAATAAAAGATAAAATGACTTAAAAGCGTTATTGGTCGTTTGATTGGTGACAGCTATTGACAATGAAATAATTATTGCCATACAACATGAAAATTGCAATTATGCTGAAGTGTGTAGAATTAACACGATTTTTTTTACATACAGAAATTACGTAATTACTTTCTGCCATGTAAAATAAACTCGAAAAGGAATTTTCAAAAGTTCATCCGAGCATTCACAATATCTAAAACAAATCTTAAACATTTGAAATGAGAATGTATGAGTTATAAATATTTTCTTTAATGAAAATAAGTTTAAATTCAAAGAAAATAAACAAGGATATATCATAGTCGGAGCTATCCATCACCACCAGTAGGTAGAGAAGGAATTACATATACTTTTCTCTTTATAGATAGTCTATACTTAGATTCAGAAAGATGTGGAAGGGGAACTTGGTTGCAGAGCGGACAATGTGTTAGACTGTTTAGCTCTCTACTTCTGGGTCGCGGGTTCGAGGCCTGGGTCAGGTAGCCGGCATGTGTTAGCTGTAGGTCTGTGTTTTTTTTTCGAGAGCTACGGCTTTACTCCACCATCAAAACTTGGTACGCCCTTAAACGTTCATGGTTGTTAATATAACGTAAAGCAACGATAAATTAAACAGATTAAGACACGGCATACAGGTAATAGGTATAGCCCGGTGATTGTTATAGACAGGTAATCGTTATATACAGATGATGGAACTATACAGGTAAAAATTATAGACCGGTAATTGTTATAGGCAGGTAATCGCTATATACAGGTGATGGAACTATACAGGTAAAAATTATAGACCGGTAATTGTTATAGGCAGGTAATCGCTATATACAGGTGATTGAACTATACAGGTAATAATTATAGACCAGTAATTGTTATAGGCAGGTAAACGCTATATACAGGTGATTGAACTATACAGGTAATAATTATAGACAGGTAAATGTTATAGACAGGTAATCGCTGTATACAGGTGATGGAAATATACAGGTAATAATTATAGACGGGTAATTGTTATAGACAGGCAACCATTACAAACAGGTAATTAATATACAAACATATCATAGTTATGTACCGGTAATTTCAGAGACAGGTAATTACTATAGACAAGTTACAGATGTAGACAAACAATCTCTATATACATTAAAGGAAACGTAGAGAATAATCAATACAGTCTGAAGCGGTATCTAATAAACTTAGTCTAGGATTTATATAAACTTCACATAATTAGAATATATGTGAATTCAAAGTTACCCAATCATTATGGATAAGCAAAGTAAAATGTCAGAAAATAATTTGATAATTTAATAATTCAACACTTGTCAATGATTAGCGCTTAACGGATCCTCGCTGTATTTGTCGTTAAACGTGTAAGAGTTATCGCTCTTACTATAACTGCACCAGAAGTTATTGACTTGTATTCTGATACTTTTCCTGTGATAATTGGAGTATTATAATTTCTATTAAAAAGAGTGACACCATGTTGGAATTGACATTTTCGTGAAATCAACCGATCTAATGTGACTTTCATGGAACACGACATAATCCACTGGTCAGATAAATGTAAGTATTTAGGGTCAAGACTCCTGGTCAGATTGACCTGTTAGGTCTGGTAACTTGTGAGATATAAATTACTGGTCAAGTTAAAGTTATAAACAGTTAGTAGAGAACAGACAGTGAATAGTTTTACAGGCAATAGTTATAGACAAGTTATAGTTATAGAGAGGTAATGGTTCTATACAGGTAATGGTAATAGACAGGTACAAGTGAAAGACATGTAATGATTATAGACATGTTATAGTTAAAGACAGGTAATAATTATAGACAGGTAATGGTTATAGACATCTAATGATTATACACAAGTTATGGTTAAAGACAGGTAATAGTAATAGACAGGTAATGGTTATAGAAAGGTAATGGTTATAGACAGATAATGATTATAGACAGGTAAAAGTTAAAGACAAGTAATAGTTAAAGACAGGTAATGGTTATAAAGAGATAATAGTTATTAACAGGTAATGCTTATAGACAGGTAAAAGTTAAAGACAGATAATAGTTATAGACAGGTAATGGTTAAAGACAAGTTAGAGTTATAGACAGGCAATGGTTATAGACAGGTAATAGTTATATACATGTAATGGTTATTGACAGGTAATGATTATAGACAGGTAATAGTTAAAGACATGTAATAGTTATAGACAGGTAATGGTTATAGACAGACAATGATTATAGACAGGTAAAAGTTAAAGACAGGTAATAGTTAAAGACAGGTAATGGTTATAGACAGGTTATGGCTATAGACAGGCTATGGTGCCGGACTGGCAATTCTTATAGACAGTTGTTGTAGACAGGTAATGACTATAGACAGGTAATAGTTAAAGACAGGTAATAGTTATAGAAAGGTAATGGTTATAGACAGGTAATGATTATAAACAGGTTATAGTTTAAGACAGATAATGGTTATAGAGAGGAAATAGTTAAAGACAGGTGATAGTTATAGACAGCAATAGTTATAGACAGGTAATAGTTATAGACAGGTAATGGTTATAGACAGGTAATGGTGATGGTCAGGCAAAAGTTATAGACAGGCAATAGTTAATGACGAGGGAATGGTTATACACATACCTGTTATTGTTAAAGAGGGGATATAGTTATAGACAAGTGATACTTTTGATAGGTAATAGTTATAGACAGGTAATGATTATAGACAGGTTATAGTTTAAGACAGATAATGGTTATAGACATGTAATAGTTATAGACAGGCAAT